AATCTCACCAGTGTTGATTTGTCATAAAGTTGACTTCTTGAAATTATCTGTTTTGTTAAGTGGTCTTCCCGCCCTAAACTTTTCTGAAATTCCTGAAAGCCATAGCAGGTTTTGACAGAGAGCTTTGCACATCGAAAATATTATATAGCATTTTTATACGTTCTTCGAATGTTTAGGTCTTTCATCGATTAAACCTTTTTTTTTCTGATTATGTTGCTTTTTATGTTCAAATCTTTTCCCTTTACCATGTAAATCAACTTCTCGATTTTTGCTGATATGCCATCTACCCAACTTTATTTGCTAGCCTTATATGCTCTAAAGAACAGTTCTTCTTTTCTTTCTTTTTTATCCGTTCGTGTTTTTCGACAAGGTAATAACATGTCGAACACCGATTGTACTTTTCTAGGATTTCCGCCGGAGACATGCCTGATGGTGTATTCGTGTCAGGTGTTACACGTTAAATTATCAGAAAATATTGGAGTGCTTCCTGATTTACTTTCTCTAGACTTACTTTCTCCAATGCTCTGCTGAATGTTCCCACAAACCATTCCTCTTGTCCGTTCGACCTTGGGGGATACAACGGGACCGTAATATGTTCAATGAAGAACATCTTACAAGAATCTTCGATTACTCGTGAATTGCCTACCGTTATAAGAAACTATGGTACCTGGTATGCCATATGTCGGAAAGAGTTCATGTAATAAAGTCACTGAAGATGTTGGTTTTTTGAACTTATAAATTCCATGCTACTTAGTGAGACTATCAACTAACACAAGATCATTTGACCCATTAATATAACTAGCAAAATCTATATACAGTCTTCAACATAGCATGTCTGTCTTTGATCAAGGTTCTATCTTGTGATAGGTTTTGCTGCCAGACCACAACCTCTGTAAGCTTTCACTATTTTTTTCAATATCTTGGTCCATTCTCGTGCAATATACAAGACTTCTGAAAGATTTGATTCTTGAAATACCACGATGTCTGCTATAAAAATGCTTCAATATTCGCTTCTGTAACAGACTAGTTATGGCAACACTTTGCCCGAACAACACTACACAATTACATAGCGAGTAAGCGTTTATGTTTGGATTTCGTTCTTTGTTACTGATGTAATCAATATGCATACATCTGGTTCCCCCTCACAGTAATATGATTGGCTGGTGTCATCCATAAATACAAATTGATGTGGACGTACAGGAGGAGGCCTGTTGGCTACGCCTATAATCTTCGCCTATTGCCTACCACTACGACGATGACCAGTCCATTACGGTTACCTGCTAGATTGTCCTACTCGTTAACAGTCGTCTAAAACCAATTTGCTACTTCGAACAAATATATCCATTTCCGGGACATATCAGTTACTTTCTTTCAATTGCTTTTTTTCTCGCAATAATGACGTCATTTCCGGTTTTTCTTTTATTTCTTCCAGGGCAACTGATAACTCTCGTATTACATTGAACAAAATATTTTTTTTATTTCCATTTTGTTTTTTAGTGGTGCAATGACCGTGTCCTCAAATGATTCCTCATTTTTAGGTATTAATCTTGATAATCCATCTGCATATACTAATTTTTTAGACGGTTGGTACTTCAGCGTAAAATCATAGTTTAATAAGATGGTACCCCAGCCTTGTAGTCTCTTAGCTGTATGCGCATGTATTCCTTTCTTTGAACCTTATATTGTTAATAGAAGCCTGTAATATGTTTGCAAAAAATGATTTCTTCCATGAATAAATTTATGAAGTTTCTTCACGGCAAATATAATTGTTAGAGGCTCTTTTAATACCTGTCTGTATTTTTTCTCGCCGTTGCTGAAGCGCGCGTCGTAGGGCTTATAATATAACTAAAGATTCGACAACTTGCAGTGACGTCATTATTAGTTAATCTGAAGAGTGACCCCAAACGGTTTCTTATTCTCACCTCTGAACTGGCGCTCTTATATTTATGGACTAGTTCATATAGTTACTTCTCAGAAATTGTTCGTTCATTTTGAAAGAAATGTGATCCAAGATTTTGACTTTCTTACGTCAACATCAGTGTAGATCAGTTTAGATAGAATCAACGGTGAATTTCATAAAAACTAATAAGTGTTTTGTGACAGAGCCAAAGAGTTTTGTGACGTAAGCGAAGTGTGATGTGTTTTTTTTATTTACATTTGAGGATGCAAACTCTTAATTTATAATTGCTGTTATATTCTGATGGCGAAAGATCATAGGAATCGTGTGGATGTGGCAAAGTCTCGTATTCCATGTCGATGTTCTTCTGCGTTGTCATACTGGCAGCATGTAGCCAATCATTTTCCCCAAGCTCAATTGAACCCCATTGATTAACCAGTGCTTAACTGAATGGACATTTTTCATCCAGTTGCTGGCAGTAAAATTGGACACCGATTATCTCGTTAAACTCCACAGGTTGTAATGAATAACGCCAATGGCGGACAACCAGACAATCACCATAATCTTTTGTTGATTCAATTTTGGTTTTGGAAAGTGTTTAGGTCTTTCGTCCTGATCAAGCCATTGAGCCGATCGTTTACGATTGCCATAAAGACTCATTTTTCATCACAAGTCATTATTCTAAAAAAAAATTGTTTCATATTTCGAAGGTGCATCAACAAACACACTCCAAAACGTCGACATCTTTGACTTTCACTGGGGTAACATGCAACTTATTTATCAAGTTGCTTCATTTTAACAAATTTCTTGAGATTGTTCGATATAGTTGAAATACTAATACCGATTAGCTGAGTCATTCTGGTGATTTTTTTTTTGTTTGACTAGTGTTTTGCAGATTGACGTAATCTACGAATCTGCAAGACTCGTATCCCCACTGTGGAACTTCAGGGACCAATGCCGTAATCCACAATCACAAGTGAATTTTGGGGCCTATGCTCTCTTAATATTGAGAAACGTTATAATAAAACTTCAACTCATGCAAACATTGTAAACACATCTATTCTTATTTCCTGTTAAAGATCAAAGGTTTATAGTTATTTATGTTAAATTCTGAAAAAGATTGATACAGAACTGACAGAAAGAAAAACATTAATCATTAGGAATTTTTGTGCAACTTTCATAATGATATACTAGAACACAAAAATGTTATCCTCAAAGTGCTTATTATTTTCCGAACGAACTAATATATATATTGTTTTTGTCTATATTTGTAAGATTTCAATATTTGAACTAATTATACTATTGATATTGTTCGAACTGTTGCCCGCATCGTTGTTGTCATATTCCCGACGTTTCAGCCGTTCGACTCACCGGCCTTCTTTTAAAACTTCATAGTAGCAGTGTTTTTACGAAGGTAAGATAAACGATAAACTCTGATACAATATTCAACGGAGATATTAAATATTCTTATGGGTGTGAGCACCTACATAATCTGTACTGAAATGTTACTTTCATCAAGGGCTGATGCGTTCACTTTTACACAAATACCCATAAAAAAATGCCCCAAGCTCTTCTAAGCTCTACGTACACTCGCTATGGGTTAAATAGCAGGGATGATTAAAGTATCTTATCTTTACTGAAAATCAATCCAGGAGAAGAATAACTCTGAAATCCAAACCTGTTTGATTCGTTATCTCTACTTCAAACTATCCTGGCTTGGTAAACACCATTGCTACTATGAGTACACTATATAGGGTACCTGTAGGACTCTAGTGCTTATGAGAATCGTGATGTGACGTATCTCTATTTACTAATATTGCTAGTTATTCGCAGCACGACAGACCACGCTCTGTTTAGGTTTGGTTGGAAACCAGTCTAGGAGAAACACGTTTTGAATTAGAAATACAGTTGGGCATAGAATTAGATATAGAATTATTTACATTATCTTTGTCGCCATATTTATTGAAACGTTTCGGCTGTTGTACGCTCCGGCCTTCTTCAGGTGGTTGGAATGTCGAACTGAACCCTTTATTTCACTCACTGGGGTAGACTGTTCTACTTCCCCGTACTATGTTCAATGGATGTCAGTTGTCTCCTGTTAATTCCCCTCTCCAAGTTCTCCACTGCCTTAAACGGGTATTGAACTCACACTCTCTTTGTGTCCTGTCACTGGATCTAACCAATGCCTTTATCCACTGTGCCATGTGTCCTTGAGGACAGCTGTGTATGAACCTAATGTCTTCAGCAATCATTTTTTTTACCAGTGCTCATATTGCAATTTTGCTGTTATCATTGTATGTTTTTACCAGATCTGAAGAAGACCGGAGCGTTCGACGGCCGAAACGTTGTAATAAATATGGCGACAAAGATGAGGACAATAGTCCGAATAATGTAAATAGTGTACATAATACCTCATGTCAGAAATATAGACAGACAAACAACAATTCTGTGGTTATGTATTCCACAGTGGTGTCTACAGCGTTAACAACAATATAGATTAAATTTCTCTTAGGCGTCTCGTGTATAAGGATTGATAGCAAACTATTTTTGCTTAACAATTACAAACGTTATCAGTTGGATTCTACTGTTGCTGCGGAAAAACTAATTTCATGAACTGATTAAATACTGTCAAATTGCCTAGAGATGCAACAGAGAATGGGAAATAAAGTTGTTTTCTTAAAGCCTAATTCCTGACAACATCGTAGATGCCAGTGACAAGATGTTTTTAAAATACATCTTTTTATGGAAGAGAAGGCAGTGACAAGTGAATCCACTTCAATGTAATTTAAATTTTCCTGATTCCAAAATGTCGCACAAATTTACCTCGCTATGAAAATTGTATATATACGCATGCGTAGAGACAACAACATCTTTTTTGTTGTATGTCGTCATATATTGATTACAATTGCATGCAGGTTTGTCGAAGCATCCATTGCCCCGTGAAACGATAAAAACGGAAGATTTTTTTTTTTCTTATCTTCCTGTTACTTGCGAATAAAGAGGCTGAGGAGGTCTTAAGGATTTCTTGGCGAAGTGAAAAAAGGCGCATCAAATAAAAACGATATTTATCTCTCACGGTTTTAATCAAGAAATGTTGGCAAAATTAAGGAGACTGAAAAGGAAAGTAAAACATATTGTCAGATAATGAATAAGAATGGCTGGTGCTGATAGCAATAAGGGGGAGTAAAAGAAGGAAACAGAAAGGAAATAAATGGAAAAAAATAGAAATATTGAGTGGAAAATATGGCAGAAAATACAATCTATAAATACAAAAATTGGAAGATGTAAAAATAATTCTATAAAACAGAGAAATGTATAAAAAGTAAAAGGCAGGAATAAAAATTAATTTTAAAAAAATGGAGAAAAATGACTCGAAAAAATGGAAAAGAGAAAAACGAAAAAAGTGAAAAAGAAGAAAAATGCAAGGAAATACATAATGAAGCGGGTATCAAAAATATATAAAAAGTGAAGAAAGTTACAAAGCAAAATGAAAGAGATCGAAAAAAGACTGAAAATAAGGGACACAAAAGTAAAGAGTAAAGAAAAAGAATGGAAAAAGAAAGACATTTTATGAAAAATCTACGAAAAAGTGAAAACAATGAATGAAAAAAAGAAATAAACCTAAAGAAAGAAAGGAGAAACAAAAAAACGAGGAAGTAAATAATGAAGAATTTGAAGAAAACAAAACAAAGAAAAATTACTGAAAAACTCATGAAGAGGAACAGAAAAATAGGAAAAGAAAGAAAGATAAACAAAGAAAGAGAAAAGCCATAAAACTTAAACCATATATTAAGTCTCCATAAAGAAAGAAAGAAAGAAAGAAAGAAAATGCGGTAGAACCTGAACCATATATTTAATTTTCAGAGGAAAAGCAAGCAATCAAGAAAGAAAGAAAGAAAGAAAGAAAGAAAAAATGCGGTAGAACCTGAACTACATATTTAATCTTCACAGAAAAAGAAAGAGAGAAAGAAAGAAAGAAAGAAAGAAAGAAAGAAAGAAAGTAAAGCATTAGAACTTGAACCAAATGTTAAATAGTTATATGAAAGGAAAGAAAGAAAGAAAGAGAGAGAAAAAAGAATGAGAAAAGCTGTAAAACTTAAACCATATATTAAGTCTTTATAGATAAATAAAGAAAGAATTAAAGAAAGAATAAAAAAAGAAAGAAAATGTGGTAGAACCTGAACCATATATTTAATCTTCATAGGAAAAGCAAGCAAGAAAGAAAAAAGAAAGAAAGAAAGGAAACCATTAGAACCTGAATCGCATATTAAATCGTTATGGGAAAAGAATGAAAGTAAGAGAGAGAAAAAAACTTAAACCACATATTAAATCTTTATCGAGAAAGAACGAAAAAAAGAAAAAAGGTTGTAATATAGAAAGAATGAAAAAGTGATAAACTATATAACGAAATAAATGAATATATAGATAAATAAATGAAGAAGAATAAAAAGTGGAGAGCGAAAGACCCAAATATTGTAAGCAATAAAGTATAAATATGTAACACATTAAATCTCCATAGCAGAAAGAAATATCGGCTGGTACAGTTTTTTCTCCAAATGCAGCATATCTCGTAAAGCCGTAGAATAAGAAGAGGTCAAGGAAAATAAGAAGAAAATAAAAAAGAGATAAGGGAAAACCTAAAACATTTCATGATTGTTTTTGCTTGACTTAAGTCGTTAGCGTAAAATGAAGCAGAAGATGTGAAGTCAGAAATCCTTTTTTCGAGAGAGAGACTGCATTTCAAACGTTTATGAAAATCGAACAGAAAAATATAAATAAAAGCGAAAAAAAAAACATTTTAAGTTTATGAAGCATTGTTAGCGACCGGTGACGCTAAGTGAAACGAAGGATTTCTGTTGCGATTCCATAAACGATTTCTCCTTCAGTTTTCATTCTTAATATTGTTTATTTTTCTTTATTTCTATTTTTCCTCTAACTGCTTCTCTCCATGATCTCATCCACACCACCACCATTTTGTTTTCGCAATCAGCAAGAATTTACGCTTTCTTCATGATATCATTTGTGGAATCAAAAATCCGTTTCGAAAAAGATCGCACTTTCGGATCTGTCAAATATGTTAGATCATTTGCGTTTGAGTAAACTGAAAAAAATCAATGCCCAGAGCCATTTCAATTCTATCATCTTCCTTTTAAGATTGTTTTTATGATGATAGCGGTCGTATTTTTCTATCAGTTACAATTACCTTTTTTTTACTAAAGTTCGCCAAATAAAAACTTAAAGAACAAGAAGATAGAGGTATACTGCATGAATGTAACAGCAGGGAAGAGGGTTAGATAAGCATTGACTATAGACTTGAATAGGTTAAATTTGAACTCTTCAAGGAAACATACGCAGGTAATTGCTTCAGAACGTAGCAGTTCTTAAAAATAACCATCTGAGTTGAATTTCTTTTGATAGAAATACGGAGGAAATGAGGGTGTTTCGATTCGGTGGATGTAGCATAATTAGTCTTAGATGTAAAGATATGAGTTACTGGAGCGAAGGAAATCAGCTCCTCTGGAGGTTTGCCATGAAAATGGCGATAATCAGGTGATGTTGATACCAGAGAAGAAAAATTTTATTTCATTATTATAGAATTTTTGTTTTCTTTTGGTATTGAAGTATCGCCGTATGACTTCTTACTGAGTTTACGTGCTCGCTCACGGTGACTCTTGCTCGCTGCGTTCGTTCTGTCTGTCTCTCTGTCTGTCTCTGTCTGTCTGTCTGTCTGTGTGTGTGTGTGTGTGTGTGTGTGTGTGTGTGTGTGTGTTTGTTACTTTCACCCTCTGTTGCTCTTGTCTCTAGGGTCTTCACGTAACAGAAGTATATATATACTGGGTGAGTCCATTTGTGTAAAAAGAGGAGGAACACTCAACATATATATATATATATTTATATATATATGGGGGGGAGCCTATGCATGAACTTTACATACTTGCGTCTTTTATTAGAAGGGATGCATCATTTAGCAGTTCTCGAACTGTGTTGGGAATAAGGTCTCTGTAGACAGCCCCTGTAAGACGTGATGAGAAATCTTATGGACCTAAATGATAGTTACTCTCAACTCCAGCCGTTACATTAATCGTAAATTGATGCTGGTGTTTAGCCCGTATGTGTACCATTAGGATTCCGATCAGTTCCTAAATATTGGTTGTGTAAATTTGTTATTCAATCTCTTTCAAATGCCGCCTCATTCGTAAACAAGTGTGAAGAGGCAAACAACGGATCGGCAGTCTGTGCAATAAACTATCGGCAAAAGTTCTCCTGTGGTGAATGATCAGAGGGGGAAAAACACTGCACATGTTGCAAATGTTACGGACACAGCAGCTGTTTTTGAAGTACTCCCCATGCGGTACTATATGTACGACATTCTAGGACCACCTGACATGTCTGATAGCTGGATCGTTCGTGACAGCCTCTAGAATGTGTTATTGATAGTGAGGCGTACGTGCGGATCTGGGTCTTCCTCAACACAGAGATTGTGATACCACGGATCCTGTCTCAGCAACGCGACGATGAACAGCAGCAAGGTTTGAATGACTCGGGTGCTTTCGGTCTGAAAATGCAATCTGATACATCTGTGCAGCCTCGCTTCCCTTACTCTATGCAAAAATAATATCTGCTTCCACCCCATATGAATATCCTGCCATTGTTAAACAGAACACATCTCAGTTACCCCACAATTACACACGTTAAATGTTGAAGACAGCTAGCCACGCATGTACACGAAAGAAAAATGTAACCTAGTATGCATGACAATCCAGCGCCATCTTTAAATTCAATAACTCTAAAACGCTGGATTTATAACATATGTTTATATGTGCTTTTGTCCTTTTTTTAATGTGAGGTAATGTCTGTGTCTTTTGTAGGATAACCAGATGGAGCTCATCACTATTGAGAATAGCTATAATTTCAGAGTTGTAACTCTGTTAAACCGATTGTTCTAACGAGGCTAAAAAGCACAGGTTGCCTTGTTCCTTAACTCATGGGTGAAGGAAGATCTGGATTTTTTCCAAGAGCATTAATGCTAAGTAAATGAAACCGACTCGACCAGAATTTGTAGTCTGCAACTTTCACTACCAATAGCTTTTATACTATCCGCATATACTTTGATGTTTTTGATTGCGTTTTTTAATCTGAGTTGTTGCTTTAATTTATCGTTTGTCAATGGCTATATTTCTTCACTATTTATATTAACGAAGAAAGTGAAAAATAATTTTTGCTACAAGTTGAAAGAGAACTATTTCAATCCTTGGAGAATTTCGATCAAATATCCTAAGCAAAAATTATTGTAATCAGTACGTGTTTAGTAAATGTACGCGTTCCCGAGAAAATCTGCCTCTTCATGGCAATTCCTAGCCATTTTATTCTATCATCAAATAATTTTTTTCGACTTTCAATGTCTTCCAGGTAAACTTTATATTCCATCACAAAAGAACGATTCTGAATTAGGTTCAATATCTTTCTATATAGGAAATTTATCGGAATATCTGGACAGAAAAGAAGCCATGTAAGGAATGAAATACGGTAGATTATCACGTGGACAGTTTCAAAATTTTTAGATGGGAAAAGATTTCATCTCAACTCCAGGATCGTTAGCTTTATCGTATTTGTAATGTGTGATAGAACGTTGTGGTGCAAAAGTCTATGACGTTTGTCTTATTTACCTGAGAAGAATTTTCCAGTGCAGTACTTAAACGAACTTGTTATACCCTGTAGAATTACGTATACGTATATTGTCTATGTTATAGAAATTCCTAATAAGGTATGTATTTTCAGTTCAACCAAAAGCATAGACTTTATTAAAGTTTTTGAACTTTGATCAGGATCTAATCTTGATTAGGCTCTCCTCGATAATTTTGGTGTCAGCTAATTTCCGGTGTATATTCCTATTTCTGATTCTTCCCTAAGATTTGTAAATTACGTTCTACTAAGTGAATATATAACAAGGCTGAGTAGTCGTTAGTGGAAACCTCAAGAACATTTATACTTACAATCAGACAGAGCAAGAGAGAATGGGAGGGAGAGAGGCTGCAATGTCTTGAACACAGGAGGAGGAAAGAATGCCCGGAGAATTTAACGTGCACAGTTTATATTGAAGGAAATAAAAGAAGTGCAAACAGCATGTAATTTATTTAATTTGATTGATTGAACAGCACAAGAAAAAGAAAGAGCCATAATAAGAACTCAAAACCTATATACAGAAACAATTAAAGGGAAGTTGTGATGAGCCATAATCATACACGTTTTGAAAGTGCATACAACCAAAAAATATGACTTGCATGGCATTAACATTGACAAAAATATGGCGTTTTAAATTTGTCCCTCAACATGGAACCCTACGATAATAATGGGCTGGCTGACCATTACTTTATCAATGTCATATCAAGTGAGGAAGGAGGCAACTATGGCTCGCTGCAAATTAGAGTAACGATATTTTCTGAAAATTACTATCACTTCTTGCGAAAGATAATGGAGTGGTTTCCCGATTGCTTGACCGCTGGTTTGAATTCAGAGTAATCAATCTTTTAGATTGGCTTACACCCAAGGCTAAAGACTCCCATCTTCCCTGCTATTTTATCCATATCTTGTGATTGCGGAGGAGAGATTGATTCCTGCTTCGCACCCCCACACCCGAAGAGCAATTATGCAAAAGTGAACGGAAAAGAGGAATTTCGACGTCGGAGCGCTGCTTCACGTTCGGTTCCGATAACCCTTACTCTACCCACATACCACAAACCGTTACTACTATTTAGCAATATTAATTACCTACAACTTTGTAAAGATTAAGCTATTCTGGAGGATAACACTACAAATATTGCGCTGTTTATATTACCGGGATATTAAGAATAAATATTAGAATTATAACACATTCTTCATTTACGTCCAGAACTTCATCTCTAATAATTAGAAAAGTAACTTTATTTCCTCTAAAGATTATATGTACCTTTTCCTATAGTCTATAGTTTGTACTAAGTTCATGTAAACACAGCATGGCGTATATCATCACAAACATTCGGATTGGCTTGCTGAATTCATATTCCTACCGTAAACTTTGCGTTCGCTTTCATACAAATACCCTTGAAAAGGCATCAGATATATATCAAGCTAGGGGTGAATTGTGGAGTAGACTGCCCTCTCGAGTTTTAGTAGACAACCAATCTAGGACAAATCTGAATCTGAAAGAGGTTAACGTCCATCCATTATAATCTACCCGTTTTGATTAACGCTTCAAGAACGAAAATATATTTGCTATATACGAGGGTGTAATGAAAAGCTCGCAGTCCTACACACAACCATCAGTCTGATAAGAAAATTAAACAACAGAATCTTTTTTAGGCATTTCTTGCTCGGAGCTACAAATTTTGATACTCATGTAAACCTTGATGGAATTATAAATAAAATATGAATGCATTTTTAATCTACTGTTCTACATACGCATCTGTTGTATTTTCTCCTTAGTAATATTTCTTTTTATAATTTTTTCCACACCCACTAAATCCTTG